GACGCGGCGAAAGCGCGCGTCCGCGTTGTATATAGCGTTCATACCTGTTCGTTGCACTACGATGTTGCGATTATCCCGACTGCCGCTCTCACGGCTACGTCTCTTTGTCTCTCATTCTCTCACCCCCTTTTCCCCCTTCCGTCATTCACTATTGCTCTCTCTCCCCCCCGTCCACTCACTCTCACACTCTCTCTCTTTCTTCTCTCTCTCTCTCTCTCTCTCTCTCCTCTCACTCCCTTCACCACCTTTTGCTCACCTGCATAGTTCTCGTCCACCTCCTCGTCTGACGCCATTCCGCAATAAACACGCTCCCCGGCTCCGACGTCAAGATAGAAAAATCACGACGACGATCGCCAAAGCCCGCCGCTACGCGCGGTATTCGTGATCCCGCTCGAGGACGACAATGAGCACGGCGACGGCGACGCGATTCGTTTTTCCTACACTTTTCTCCCTTTCACTTCACTCCCGTTTTCTCAAGCGCGAGGAAACACTGGCCGGACGATGTAGCATCAACGCCGTCGCGGCGACGCTCACTTAGTCCGTGCGGACAAGGTTTCGGCGTGCCGTCACTCGATATACGATATACCCTCGCTTACATATACGTATACGACAAACGCTTCTCCGCCACTACCGTCTTTCGCTATCGTGCGATTCGTCGTTTCCCTTCAACCTTCTCCCACTCTTGTATGCAAAGTTTTCCCCTCTTTTTCATGCGCGTACTTTTCGTATATGTATCTCTTGTGTACGTACGCGAGCGTCTCTTTTCGACGCTTGGAGTAAAATAAAAATTTTTTTTTTACGCCCACTTTTTTCTTTCTCGTCTTTTTTTTTTTTCTTTCAACTCTGCTAATTATTTTGCTACATTTTTTTTACATTTTCCTACATTTTGTTCTCCACGAATTTACATTGCATTGACCATAGACGTAGTATGACGAATAGATACACTACTCTGCGCATTTGACGCGCGACATTCAGGTATCCAATAAAAAAATTGCATTCCCTAGTAATTTTAGTTAACTGCATTAACATTGCGTTTCACACTATTTTTATATCCAATAGAAAATGTACTTATAAATTTTGTCACGTACTTTTCTAGGGAAAAACAATTTAGGCAACCTAACTTTATACAATTCTAATGTCACTTTGAACTTCAGCGACTGATTTGGCATTTCTAATTATAGATGGCGATACAATACAATTTCGTCGCATTTGGTGCATTCACGAGGATTTTTCGTTAAAGATATTGATAAATCTTTTGTAAAATGGTAAATAAGTTGGCTTGTTAATTAAACCGATGTCATTTGACAATGTGATTTTGCGGTTGAAATACCGTGCCTACGTCATTTGACAATCATGTATAAATTCATAATCTCATTTATAGAGACCGGTGTTTTGTCTATTGATTCAAAGGTTATCTTTTCTCTGAAAACTTTCGTTCGCGAAGCTATTTGCACAATTGTAAATGTTATATGATTATTAAAATGGTTTGTAGTATTTCAAGGAATCTGCTTTAATTGCAAACCGTTAATTTTATCTACATCTATTCAAGAAGTTGTGTTAATGATAAAAATACTTTTGAACGCATTTCTTCGGAATTTATTATTTGCAATACAATATATTGTTGCGTAATCTTTAAATAATGTAAAATATTTGCAAATACTCAATTATCAATAAGGCATACATAATAATTACTGTCAAGTAAAAGCAAAAATTGTAACCAATCTTATAATAGTTCCAGAATATTGCATCTTGTAGAACAAGTTTAAAGGGAGCTGCAAGGTCGATACAATCAACAAGGTGTTTAAGAAATGGCTCGAGAGAACGTTTGCTGTCGTGTACATTTCATCCAACATCTGCAGATTTATTCAATGCAAAAATGCAGTCGGTAAGTTTCTTGTTTTCTAAAGAAATAATGCTGAAAAAATAGCAACAATACTTTTGCAGATTCGACTATATTCGAATCCGGCGCGGCGGCCCAGCTTTATATCTCAATTTGTTGAGAATATTAGACAGGAGATGCAAAAGAACAAAGAAATGAAAGAGTCTTTAAAAAAGTTTAGAGAAGAAGCTCAGAAATTGGAACAATCAGAAGCATTACGAACAGCGCGGCAGAAATTTCAAGCTGTGGAATCTGAAGCTAGCAAAAGTTCCGAAGTTATTAAAGAAAAGCTAGATACACTTAAAGAAAAGGTACATACGTGCAATCAACTAATACAGTGATAATATTATGTGTGCAATTATATAAATTAATATTCAAAAGGTACAAGAAGTTATCGAGGAAGCAGGTAAGACTGAACTTGGCAAACGCGCTGGTCAATTAGGTGAAGAGATTACGAAATCAGCCAAAGGCGCGGCGGAGACAATTTCCGAGAAAAGCCAAGCACTTGGTAAGACAGGTGCCTTTCAAACGATAACGCACACAGCAGAGGCCGTACGGAATGAACTTGACGAACATGGAATTCTAGGTAGATAGATTTGGCCCGACTAGACAGAGAATAGAGAGCAGATTAAATTTCTTCATTATTGCTTGATGCAGGCAAAGTTTACGTTGCGCCTAAAAAACTACGAAAAAGGAAGGAAGTGCCAATAGAGACTAAAGAAATCATGCCTGACCAGAAATCGACAGGTGTGGAGATACACAAGGATTTCATGTTTTCCGCCGCCTGGGAGAAATTTAAGGTATTACATACACAAATATGTGAACGTATAATGAATCTTAATACTGATTTTTTAATTTATTGGGTATTTCTTTCAAGGACAATAATCCATACGTGAATAAGGTGATGGACTGGAAGATGAAATACGACGAGTCAGACAATGCCGTGCTGCGCGCTTCTAGATTGCTCACGGATAAGGTTTCGGATATTATAGGCGGATTGTTTCAAAAGACTGAGCTGTCGGAAACTCTGACGGAGATTTGTAATCTGGATCCTAGTTTCAGTAAAATACAATTTTTGAAAGATTGCGAGACCGACTTCATCCCGAATATCCTCGAGGCGATGGTTAGAGGCGACCTTGAAGTTCTGAAGGACTGGTGTCACGAAGGGCCTTACAATTTAATCGCACAGCCGCACAAACAACTGAAAAAGCTAGGACATTATTCAGATAGTAAAATTCTAGGTATGCATTTGCACGCAACTCATTATTGAGAGCTGCTTCGAGATTTGTAAACGAGAAATATTTCAATTGCAGACATCGACAATGTGGATCTGATGATGGGCAAGATGATGGACCAAGGTCCGGTTTTAATCATCAGTTTTCAATCTCAACAAATCATGTGTGTGAGAAACTCGAAGAATGAGGTGGTCGAGGGCGATCCTCAGAAAGTGATGCGCGTCAATTACGTCTGGGTGCTGTGTCGCGATCGGACGGAACTCAATTCTAAGGCCGCGTGGCGCTTACTCGATCTTAGTGCCAGCAGTTCGGAGCAGCTAGTATAGTGCGCGAGTGAAGAGGAGAAACTGAAAAACTGAACTACGTAAAAATTTTAGTAAACCAAGTGGGATCGTCGCATAGTGGAATCATTCATGCATATTACTACTATCATTTGCATCACCAAAACCAAGACCGAATGTGATAAGAATTCTTTAACGATTGTTGAGTGATCTTCATCCACGACAACATGCATAGTGCGCAGCATATTTCCTGTAAATCGGAGTGTTTATGTACAAAATTCTAGCAAAGCAATGTAAATTTAATTGTGCGTGACGTAAGTACATATATATATATATATATATATATATGCTGATTAAGTTGTCATTTATGAAGTAATATATGTTTGCAAAGTCACATTGTCATATATACTGGTATATACTGTATATACTGTGTCACATATATTGTATATACTAGTGATTTGCGATTGGAGTACGATATAAAATTTGCCATTATTTAAAAGTAGTTCATAATTAGAGTAATTATACTCATTTGTCAACGAAAGTTGAAAAATAATAATTACTGAATTCTGTTTTACCAATTTAACATTTACAAAATTTTCGTAGATTTTCTTATCTTTGTATATACATACTTTAAATTTAGAACATTGATATAAAGGAAAAAGATATGCAATTCATAAATATTAATTTTTATACATACGCATACTCACAGATGGATCTCGTTCGCTATTTTGGTTTACATCTGATTTTCTCATTCATATTTTTTTTGAAACTTAATAAAAAAATTGTAGATATTAATGGTGAATTTTAAAAGATAAAATGTTCTTTTTTGAACGTATATGAAATACTGAAATTCTATGCATTAGGGAACGAGTGGATTCACACAGTGAACATATTTAATACATTATATGAAAATATAATATATCCAGATAGATACCCATCTGTTAATATGAAGTTATACATGTATAAATGTACATATGTACAAGCTGATGTTTACAACTGATTATAATGTACAGTCATGAAATTGTTAAGAGAACTGTTGATTATTTTTTAAAGATTATATTATATGAGTTCAGCTCAGATCAGTTTGAAACAGAATTAAAACAGAATAAAATGATATCAGGCGAATCATGAACGGTCATAGTATTATTTATCTATTTAAAGTGAAACCACAACTCATTTTAGATTAATAAGTTTGTATAATGCAACATACATACATGAATGTATATTTGTTTCATACACTGGATGCTTTTTATAAAAGACATCATAGATCTAAAAACTACTTTTTATTTATACTCTTTATTACAATTACACTTGTTAGCAGATCTAAAAATTACTTTTATTTATACTCTTTATAACAATTACACTTTAGTAATCATTATATAAATACAGGGTGAGTGAAACATTAATTCAGAGAAGTGTTTTAAATAAACATTTTCAAGGAAGATATATATTTAAATATATATATCTTCCTTAAAATTTAAGGAAGATATATATTTAAATTCATGCAGAACAAGAAGGTGGCAAACGAGCATGAAGATCAGGAGAATAGGAAGCCGAATTTTGATTCTTCCAAGACAGAAAATAAAAAATGCATGAAAAAATTCAAATTCTTGCATAAAAATTATTATACAAATATATATATATATATATTTAAATATATATCTTCCTTAGATTTTAAAGAAAAAAAAATATATATATTTAAGCTTTTGCAGACACACGTTCATTTATCGCAATTAATAAAATACTAATTAATAATATTTCCCTCATATATCTTTTTTATATTTCTTCTTTTTTTTAACAATACATGAAGCATGTCTAGCATTTTTGAAAGACGAATATATTAGTATGTTAGATAGTTTATATAAGATACATTATGCAAAGCATGTAAGACATGGCAAATATCTTAGGAAAAAATATATTTAAGTATATTTAATATAATAAAAATTATAGAAAGTTTAATCCTTTGAGAACGGGACAGTTTGCAAATATTTACATACATATCTTCCTTAAAAATGTTGATTTAAAACACTTCTCTGAATTTAATGTTTCGCTCACTCTATATTTTATATAAATCATCCATAAAATACTAATTAATATTTCTCTCATACATCTTTTTTATATTTCTTCTTTTTTTAATCATACATGAAGCATGTCTGGCACATTTGCGAACATGAATATATTAGTGCGTTAGTTTATATAAAATATATTGAGTGAAGCGTGTAAAACATAGCAAATATCTTAAGAAAAAGCTTAAGTTTATTATTTAAGTATATTTAATATGATAAAAATTACAGAAAGTTTAACCCTTTGAGAACGGAACAGGTGCAAATACAGTCCGTAATAATAAATAGAAAAAGGTAGAATCAAACTATTAAACAAATATATTAAAAAACTTTAACTTTGTGCGATAAATAAACGCGTATAACCAACTGACACCAATTATGTTCGAAATATCCTGACGCGTGTCCGCAAAGGCTTAAACTTATAGAATAATTGTTGGAATAAATGAATGCGAATTATGTCAATTAATATATTACGTTTATGTTTGCTTCGACTTGAGTTTACTTGCGAATGCAGGACTTTGCGGTTGGGTCAGTTGTTTCGTCGCTTTAACGATAATCGGCAATTTGTACTTCGGCATCGGTCTGGCCTTCACTTCCGTCAACTTGCGCAGCTCCACTTTTACTTGCATCTCCTCCTCCAGTTCCTTTCTAATCTGTTCTTGGCGCTTCTTCTCATCCTCCATTTCTCTACGCTTCAACCTTTCCTCGAATTCGCGTCGTTCCTTCGCTCGTTTATCAGTGTTCAATTCTGGCGGATGGATCTTCTCCTTCAGAGATGCCTTTTGCTTATCAATAGCGCAAGCAGCACTTTTCGTTTTCCGGGTACTTTTATTTTCTGTCTTCGAAGAACCAACATTCGGCTCCAAATTCTCCTGATCTTCATGCTCATTCGCCACCTTCTTGTCCTGCACGAAAAGACGGTCCTTAGATCTGCCACGTACCATTACGGGTTTGAAAGACGGTGCCGGATTCGCACGGAATATCCGCGACCGTTTGTCCTCTTCGAGCACTTGTTTTACCAACTGCTCCTTCTTCTTCGACAATTGCTTATTTCGTTCCTCAAAACTGAATGGACACGGCAGGACCGACCTCTTCATGCTCTGCCGCTGCTGCTGCTGCTGCTGCTGCTGCTGCTTGGCTGACGGTGTCGGCGGTTTTGAAAAATTCGGCACCGGCCTGGCATGGAACTCTTTAGTCTTGTTGACCTCCTGCAAGCTCTTCAACCGTTGCTCCTTTTTCATCTGCAGATTCTTGTTGCGCGCCTCGAAGCTGAATGGCTGAACGCGCGTCGCGCTCTTGGTGACGCTTTCTTTAGGCACGCCGAAGAACGCTATCGTCTGTTGTTCCACGATAATACCCTCAGAATCGGTCACCGTTATCCTTGGCACCGTTTTCTTCGGGCCGAAGAAAGTTTTATCGTGACAGACTGGTGGCGGTGAATTTTTACTCTGGAGCAAACTTGTAGCGCAAGATATCTCGCCACTCTCGGACTGCGTCGTGTCCGCTGACTTCTTCGCGACTTTCGGCATCACGCGCGGACCCCGCAGCACGCTAGGCGGTATCGGCTTCGCTTTTATCTGATACTTCTTCATCTCCTCCAGCTGCAGCTTCTCGCGTTCCTCCTGGCTCAGCACTGTGACGGCACGCGCTCTGTTCTTCGATACGAGTGCCGGTGAAATCGGCACCGTCGTTCGCAGGCGATTCTGCATCAATTTCGGTAGGCTGATCACCGCAGACGTATTGTTCTCCTTCGTGCTTCTGGTACGGAAACGTTTGGGTGTTTCATTTTGGAAGCGCGACACCGCCTCCGCCAAGCTGACGTACTGCTTACTGTTTGTTGACGTTCGGCGTTTATACATGCTCCGTCTGTGATTCTGCCAGGTGAGGATTGAGGTATGTTTATTAGATTGCCTTTGTTTGGCCTTTTCAATTGCAGTATCCACATCATCCTCATTATTTTCTTCCTTGTCCTTATTGTCGTCTATTGATTCTTCTTGTTCATCTTGCTGCTCCTCGTTTTTTTCTTCGTTATGATCTCCACTATCGTTCTTAAATTCGTCATTGTTTTCCTTCTCATGTTCTTCTTTGTTCTTCTCATTGAGTTCCTTATTTTCCTCCTTAAGTTCTCCACTGTCCTTGTCAAGTTCCTTATCCTTAAGTTCTTCACTGTCCTCCTTAGGTTCCTCATCCCTTTTTTTGTCTTTAGTAGCATCTGAGCATACATCTGGTATTTTGGAAGTATTATTCTTCGCGCAAGCATCATCTTGCTTAAACAGGTAATGGTTGGCCAATGTTCTCCTCATATTTACAGTATTATTGTTCTTGTTAATTTTTACAGATTTTGATACAGTATCTTGACTGGATTGAACGTGTTTGTTCGGTACGCTACGAAAGCCAATGGATCTGGACGATTTAGTGCCTTTAGACACGCTTGGTGTCTTAAAAACATTAGACTCTTGGTTAATTTTATTTGACACGTCTCGGATTTTAGGTGGCTTTTGACAGAACTCCAGTGTTCTCATTGCATTGTTAAGGATCTGATCATAAGTAATTGTTATCTTTTCTTTATTATCACAATTTGGAGAGACCACCTTGACAGGAGTATTTTTCATAATCAAATCTTCTTGCAATTCCATAATTGTATTAGAATCAGAAACATCTTCTTGAGATGCAGGCTGAATATTCTCCGTATCCTTAGAAGTAAAGTCACACAGTTTATCTTTAGGTTCTATTGTACGTACTCTGTCAAAGAAATCTTGTGCTACTTGCGGACTGCAAGATTTGGTAAAATCCACCCATTGAGGTGCGTGTGCATCAAGATATTCCTCCATTATGTCAATATATGATATATGTAATTTGCACTTTTCCAAAAAAAAATATCACGTCATAAAGTAAAATGATTACTATAGCATCTTAAAACATATGAGATACCATTAGAGTAAACAGCAACTAATGATAATCTGAAAACATAAAAATTAGAAAGCTTATATTATATATTTTTATAAAACATAATTTAATATGTACACTTCAAAGACATACTTCAAAGATGTAAAAAATAACTGAATTAAAAATTGTATTAATATGAGAGATTTAGTTATAAAAAACAAACAAAAGTTAAAAGCAGATCAATTATACATTAAATTATTATAATAAAAATTTATAAATTTTATTGTTATATCGATAAAAGATCAACTAATGAGAACGAAAATATTGGAAGGAGCGAACATTTTTAATCTTAATGAAACGTTATATAATACTTAAAAATGTGCAAGATATAATAAAATGTTGCAACACACAACAATAAATATAGCTATTTAAAATATTATTAAAATAAAATATTGGAGTATTGACAAATCAGAGATTTAGATAAATTACATCGTATGGATGTTCAGAAGATCAACAAGACATCAACGAGACATCTACTTACATTTAACCGTATATTCTGAAAGTTCCTCGTTAAAAATTATTCACCAAAGCACGATTGTTGTGCAAACACCAATTTTTTCTTCTTATACGTAACTCGTGCACTTAATTCTCGGTGAAGTAGGAAATCTACAGCTGTGATATAAAGTGAGCATCAACGATTACTGTAACGAAGAAATCAACTAGTATACGTTGAATTTCACGCGTTTGAATTTCTCAATAACTTTGTCCGGATTGGCTACGTGTTGCTAGCCGGATCAGACGAGTTGCACATGCGCGTCAAGCGTGTCAGTCTCAGGCAAAAAACATTTAGTAACAAAAGTTCCTATAAAATTGGACAAATATATGTAAGCATACATTTTGATTGGCTATTATAAATATCTACAATACAAAAAACGTCTCATTTTTTTATTCAAAAATCTTTTACTTAGAATAAATACTACGGTAAAAATTTAATCTTAATATCTTTATTTATTTTTTGTTCAATTAGTAAACCCATTTTTTGATTATCAAAATTAGAATCTCCTATTAAAAATAGAAGATTGATTATCAAAATAATAATTAAACATTAATAATTTGATTCAATAGATTCCGTTAAAGCAAAATTCTAATTTGACATATAAATTTTTAAAATGCATCTAAAATACATTAAATGCGATTATATTTTCAAACAAAAATATATTATAGTTCCAGTAATATTAATTGCAAATCATTTTTAACATTTATTCGGTTTTCACAGTGATCTCTTAGCATTACATAAAAGTATCTATTATAGTAATTTATATATACATAAACAATGTTCTATTTCTTAAAGAAATGTTGGAGCAAACCGCGTGAAAATTTCTCAATTTACTATTTTTCAAGAAATATCTTAAAGTCTTGACATTTATATAAGAATATGATTCTTGTGATACATGAGATTGTTATACATTAAATTGTATTAGAAAATGCTATTAATACAAAAAAATTGTTTCAAAGTCTATTAAAAATTAAGGTTTCTATTATATAAGTTCAAAGAAAAATGATCAAATAAAAAAAGAATATAAACAATGATAACATTTGCAAATATTAAGATGTTAAGTTACTCAGACTTTGTCTTTGTGTCTTCTTTATAATGCAAAAATACGAGTGAGAACAGAAACACACCGCCCATCATAGAGAACGCGCTTATATAATACGGAAACGCACTCGGTATGAAACGTTCGTACTGCGTGTGCTGCAGTGGACGTACTGAAACCTGTGTGGTGCTATAAAGATGCGTGAGTCCGATACGCGTGTAGTCTACTTTGAATTGATACACGCCGTACACGTCGGGTATCTTAAATCTGCCTTCATAACGACCGTTTCCTACTGGCTTCATAGTCATGCGTACAAACGGGTCGATGCGCACAAATTCCAGCTGCAGATCATTTGTCTCGTAAGGCACCCATTTGCCGTTCGCCAGACGCTCGACGTCGATCGAGTAAACCACGTCGTCCATGATTGTGTACGCTGCTGGTGGTTGTGACTCGCCGACTCGATGATGGTGAACGGAAGACACACGTATGACGCCGTTCTCCTTGAATACCCACTGTGCCATGGCCTTGGCCACTATCTGATTACCGGATTTCTCGTATCTCTGACCACCTGCAAGCAATCAATAATTTATAAGATTTTTTTAAATCCAACATTAATTACAAATACAAATATCAAGTTTTAAACATCAGATTTTAAGATAATTAGAAAAAAAGGATTAAAAAATATTTTTAAATTGCTACAAAATATTAAATGTCAAGAGATGTTGATAATTGAAAAGTTGCAAGTTATAATTTCTTACTAAATCTTTGCTAAAAAAAATGTCTGCGACTAATTTAACTGTTTTATTACTATTATTTTGCTTACCTTGTCCTTTTTGAATAGGACTGGTAAATGCTTCATCACTGAAGAAAAATAAGGAACCTGAGAACAGAACTCTGGCATTATTCCTGGCCTGCAGAGCTGCTATCAGCAAAGTGTTTTTGCCAACACCATGTGGATACTCCTTGACTGGTTGGTCTGGATTATAAGTATACGCCGAGGTAGACGCTGATAATAAACGTAAAATTAATGGATTATCTGTGTCTGCAATCAATCCAGTTCCTCGATAGAGCAATGGAGGGATGGCTTTGTTTCCAACAATAACTGAGGCGTCTATCAAATTTGTCGGATCTGCTACTATAGTGGTATGTTGACCACTATCGGAAACATCATAATTCATATGATCAATTACAGTTGAGCCTTCTTCGTCAATTTCCAAGCCACATTCCGAGGCCAATTCGTGCAAAGCATCGCCAGAATGTGAGGAACCAGCTATTAAAACATTTCCACCACCATCTATAAATTCAGTTACTGCTTCCACGCTTAGAGCACCACCAAATTCTTCAACTGTGGGTGCAAATATGATCAGATGTTCGTACAAATATTCGCCATACTTTGAAAGTTGTAAGTTTGCATCATCGGCTGACTTGAAAGTTAATACATAGCCGCTATCTGTAACATAATTAAAATATATATTAATTAAGTGCTATTAAGTACATTTGCAACTGATTCTTAATAACAAAATATAAACAAATTTATTAATGTTAAATCCATAATTAATAAACTATATAAATGATGTAGCTACATCAGATATGCAACATATTATAGATATATAAAAGAATAATTCAATAATAATCAGAATAAAGATGAATAGAATATTTTGTTGCAAATATTTATAACGATAAGCAATGTGAAAATTCTTGAGAATTAATATCACTGCTTGTTCTAGTATGGTTATTAAGTTTGAAGAAAATAAAAAACTACAATATGTCGAAATATTTGTTTTAAATATTTAGTCTCGATGTTCATAAACGTGGCTAGCATTTCAAATGTATATTGATGTTAGCAGCATCGTATAACACTAAAAAAATATGAAAAACTGTTATTAAGAAAAGCCGCTAGCGATAGAATGTCAGTTGCGATTACAGAGATAACAATGATATTATGTGATTACCCTGCAATGTCTTGAAGAATATTGAATGAGTTTCTTTAATTGCAAGGTTGTCCAACAAGACAAGGGTCGATCCGCCGGCATTTGCACCGGCAAACACGAAAAATAGACAGAATAACCTATTCACGAGCTTCATTGCGAACTATTCGTCACTTCGTTCTTGCCATGAGACACGTCGGCTCATTGAAGTGACGTGTTCAAAACATGAGCGGAAAACTTATGGAGGATTCACACTGCATCGTTATTCAACGTCCAGTAAGAAATTGTGTTTAGTGACAAAAACGTAAAATACCTAAAAGAGACGTTCTATTATTGGGTAGCGAAATGCTATATGCACTTACAAATTAATTACCCCTTTTGCATGTGTGTGTGCATACTTGAAAGAATGCGTCACCATTGCGTCGTATAACTATATACATCGTGCATTGTAACTATTAACAAGGTGGGGCATGTTTAGGTTTAGGTGGATTTAGGTTTGTCGTAAATTTTTCGATACTTGTCAGTGCTTTGTCAAAAAACTCGATGTTTTGAATTATTTTTACGTTTCTAAAAGCAATAATGAAACGCTGGCTTAGCCTAGCTGTAACGTGCTTTTTGTGGTACGGTAAGTATCTTTCATTTTTTAGTGAAGTACTATAGGTTTGAGCGTAAAATTATTACATACATTCATCTATCAAATTTTTTTAATTTATCTTTTATTTTTATCATATTACATTTATATGCTGTTCACATACGTAAATTGTATATTTTTAAATTGAAGTAAACTGTGTAATAAATTAGAAAACATAAGTGTAAATTTATACATATATCTTAATTTCATGAAAATTTGACTTATAGTATTTTTTTTAAACTTATATTTTTTAGTAACAAGTATATGAAAAATATATCGCCAAATTTTGGAATATGATTACATTAAACTAATAAAAGGATATATTATCTGACAGTTATCATAGCTAAGGAGACAAGATTGTCAGGTTGCCAAACTCCAATTAATATTCGTGGAACTTGGTTTTCATGGGAAAATGGCAGGAATACCTTGACAGAAATAAATGATGACAGTATGACTGGACGGGGTGAATGTATACACATGACTAGCCGATATAATACAAATCACTCATTCGTATTTCGTGATATGACCGTAAAAACCACCTGTTATCATTGTGTGCAGCTTATTGTTAGGACAGTGAACATATTGGAGAAGCTTGAAGGTAAGTGAAGGAATAGGACTATGCTGTTTAACTCAAAGTCTAATTTATAATATATAGAATGCTTAATCCATAACTTTTGTATTCTGTTATAGTAATTTGTTTGAACTTAGCCGCTGGAGTAGAACCCACAGTAGAGAATGTTTGTAAAGATTTAAATGTAAACCAGCAGTTCATAACATTATTCAAAGAAAACTATACACCTGTAAACTGTAGATCTGCTTTGGAAGGAGTCTGGCAATTTGCTTATCAAGTAAAGAGATATACACACGCAACTCCATATATTAATATATATATAATATGGATATACTTATGTATCATTATTGTTATTATTTCAGAATCGATTTAGATTTACAGGAGAGTGTAATCAACCAGATGCGCAAATAAGATCTTGTCAGACTGCAGGAAGCCAATTTCTTATAACTAACCAGAAATTTAACATTACTTATAAGAAATGTCCTGGAATGGAGGGAACTCTCGATGGATGTAATAAATCTTTTTTTCTAATTTTTGTATAAGATGTCTTCATACATTTTGATACTGTGGCAAAAAATGTAAAATATTTTCTCATTTTAGTGGTGGAATATAGTTGCTTGGGCGACTGGTTTGTAGACAAGAATCATTTTTTCGCGGTAGCGAATACGAAGGAATCTCGGAAGGACGAGAAATACAGATGCTTCTTAAGGAATCGTGACGATGATTTATATATTGGTGTATCGATTACTGCCGAGTGTAATACTCTTAAAACTGTGGAAAAGAGTCCCGAACGTTTGCGAATCACTCCGGTTAAAGCCGAAGTGGTCGAGCCAAATTGCCGTTTACCCCAGGACATGGTTGGGAATTGGATAAATACTAATAACATAGATGCGGACGTTGTGATTAACGAGACACACATTATTGAGACCCATTATCCGGATGTAGGACGTTATCGACGAACAATTTACGTTTGCCGCGAGCAAAGGGATGCAAAAGTAATGATGGCAAGATTGACCGTTGATGGATGGTATGTTAGTTTGAATCTTTTTTTAAAAAAAGTGTCTTCATATTTGAATTAAGTTAGTCTTTCTATAAAGAGACAGACCGTTTAGAAATACTTACACATTATTTGAATTAAATTTACAGTCAAAAGGATTATGTTTGCTTCGAATTTGTACGGCGACATCATAACGTTATTAGATACCGACGTGGCATAGCTGTGATAAAAGACAATTTTCATACAGTGTGCTCTTGGGTTCAGTTTCCTAATAAGGAAAAGTGGAAATATGATCTGTATTTAGGTAATTCCAATATAAATTTAGATTCCGTTGCATCGTGATTAATTCTACTACATTATTTTTTAACTTTCAGCGAAAGATCCTGTTCCGGTGCGCTGTCCGGTAGCTGGAAAATTTATGTTCAAACAAGTAGGAGACATTCCCTTTGAGACTAGAATTTTAGGCGGTATCACTAAATCTCCTCGGCCAAATATTTACTGTAAACAGAATATTTCTGACTTTTCGGTCTGCAGTACTGAACAGAAGGAGATCTCCATTGACGAG